GTATCTTAATGGCATAATCCACCCTCTTAATTTTACACAAGGCCTTGACCAAAACCCGAAAAGTCGATTCCTCAATACGAATGTTCATATACTGGCTCTTTAACAAGATCTGGGGAACCATTTTGAGGAACTCTCTCTTCCTGCAAAGCAATGAGAGCAACAAGTTCAGGGAGCAAACAGTTGGTGTGCACCTGAACCTGGGGATTCTGAAGAACAGATCAACAGCATCTTGGACTCTGTCAGCAAGACCATAGAACCTAATAAGGTACACAAAGATGAACTCAGGTGTTTCAAACTTCTCCATGTGTTCAAGGTGGTCGAGAACAGGAGGAATGTCGTGAAACTGGGAGGTGTTGGTTAAGGTTTTGACGACAAAGTAGTAAGCTTTTGGAATAGGGTCACAGCTATAGGCTTTGAAGGAGTCAAGAAGAGTGGAGAGAAGAAAAGGGTAGTGAAGGTTGTGTCTTTGGGGTTGTTGGGAGGAACCCATTTCAATGGTTGATTGTTTGAGGGTTTGCATGGCTTGTTGTTCACAAAAGTTGTGGTGCCATGAGGTCTTGTAAGGGGAATATGGCCATTTTCTGAATTTCCTGAGGAATTTGTTGGCACTCTTCGATAAAGGGTGTCTCACCATTTGGATTTGATGAGGAACTCAAACAACAAACATAAAATTAGCGTCGAGGCCTCTTTGAAATCTTTACATGTTTACATTTATTATTAATTTTAAAATTTATTAATTTAACCGTTGAATCGGAAGTTCTCATAAGGTATACCATGTTTGTAAAATGTAATACGTTTTAAACTTCGTTAATATTTTATTTCACTACTTTATTTTAATAAATAATATTATATTTAAAGTAAATATAAGAGTATATCTTTTATGGTCCTCGGCAAATCTCACGATATCTGTTTTTGAGGATCTAATGTGGGTTTTTTTTTAAATTTGTGAGGGGTCACACTTTCAATTAAATTGGTCAATTTTGAATTTCTTAAGACCACGAATAACCTTTTTATTTGCTAAGGATTAAAGCGGGCATTCTAAAATTTGATGAGGATTTAAAATGATATTTAAAGTAAAAATAAATATCTATTATTGAATATGTATCTACGAATGTTCTAAAATTTCGCATTGTACACTAGTCATTTCCTTCCTTGCTCTTCTTTTTCTACTCATTTTCTGCCCAACAATTAAGTCTGATGGCGATGATGCCTTAGCTGTTGACTTCCATATTCCCGGGTTACATGTGTAGGCTCTGTAGCTAAGTATTTTCAGTTGTTTCAAATTAAGTTCACTAATAGGTTTCATTGTGGTCCTTTTTTACCTCATGTTGGTTACTCATTTGAAAACATTGTTTCTGAAAGCTGAACTGGTACTAGTTTTAATTTGAAAAACTATTGTGCTTTTAGGTAGAAATATTATTTGTAGTGGTTGTGAGTTTCAATGCTCCTAGGAAGTATAAACTTTTTGATTTGGAAACCTCAAACAAGACTAATTAATAATAGTGGAAACCTCAAACAAGATCAATTAATAACAGGGCTTTGGTTTTGTCATGTTACATGAATAATTTTTTTTTTCTACAAAGAAAAGACAAACTAGATAATAATAAAGAAAGTGAAAGATGCACTCTTTTTAAGGACTTTGTGTTGTCTCAAGTGGTTGCATGACACCAGTTTTTTTTCTACAATACTATTCTTATTTATCCCTTAATAATAACCTTAAATTGAAACTAATTAGTTTGAATTTTTTCGGTTTCTTTAATAATAATATATAGCATTACTTTGCACCACTTAATGAGAAAAATCAAAAGTCCAAATCTTTTTCCTTTACGTGATCGGTAGTCGTACAACAGTGTTCATTAATTCCAATTAGACTTTGACTATAGAAAAGTCCAATTAGCTAGGCTTTTAAAATTTGTGAGCCTTATTCAAATAATTAATTATCCTAATCTTGACAAAACCTACTTTTGCAACAATATCTCCCGTACTCATGACTTGGGATCTGATTGCATAATTTGATTATATGTATTCAAAAAATTATAATTTAAGTATAAAATTAGTTAAGTGTATGTATAACATTTGTACTATATGTATTCCAATAAAATGAATAAATTACTAATTAATACCAAAACATGCATAGAATTATATTAATATTCTTAGCTAACTTCACGTGTTATTTATGAACCTGGTCAAAGGCGGTGGTCAGACCCCAAAGTGGAGCTAATAGCGATTTGATCATTTATTATTTGACGTTTGTTTTTTCTATGATGGTTTATGTCATGTTTTACATATCCATATGTGTGCTGGTTTTTCTTTACTTACAGGAAAATTATCAAAAACTTGAAGAGGAGAGGTCCGCACAGGCGACGACAGACGGTCAATCCAGTTCCTCCTATTCCGATAATGGGAACATGTTGGTTACAACTGCAGGTGGATTCAACAAGAAAGAAAGAGTGGTCGGGCTGGGAGGATATGCTAGCCGGCTGAAGTCTAGTAAGCGGCCCTCTACCCAGGTTGACAGTGTTTCTGCAGGTAAACTCAATGCATAGTTAATTCTTTTATGTTTTCAATCTCTATTCTATTAATATTTTATTTTAAACATTTAACTTACTGTTTTATAATAATGTATTTGCAGATGAGCTTAAAAGGATGAGGGTGTCCCACTCCTAGATTCAGGAGCAATTGCATGCTGCGACGGAGCAATTGCATGCTGCGACGGAGCAATTAACTCAGCAAGCGGAATTTATGAAGCAGCAAGCTGACATTATGAAACAAATGCAGGAACAACTCCGACTTTTAATGCAGGACAAGGAAGCAAACTGCAACAAGTCGAAGAGACCGGCGCCGGATGATGACCCTGATGATGATGATGACTTTGCTAGGATTTTAGAGGCATACTAGTTGTTGTTTGTATGTTTTACTTCTTTTAGGATTTCAGAGATATATCAGATATTTTTTGTATGTTTTATTTTGTTTAGAACTTTAGAGACATTTTAGTTGTAGATTTGATGGTTGTTGTTGTTCACTTTTGTTGATATACTATTTAATCTTAATTTAATTGTTTATCCAGTATTTTTTGGATTTCTGTTGCTCAATTTATGTATTTATGTTCATTTGAAATCCTTGTTGTTTACAGAAAAATTAACAAAAGTTTAATACATTTTTTTATTTTTTTATTTTAATTCCAGAATTTGTGGCAGAAATTTTCAAAATTCCCTTGCAAAATTCGTAGCCTTTTGCGAGGGAAAATCAAAATGTTCCCTTGCAATTTTGCAACGGAAATTTAATACAGCCCTTGCAAATTTTGCTACGGAAGTTTGCGAGGGAAAAACACTGTAGATAGCTCTGTTGTTAGCGAGGGAAATTTACTTTTTTGCAAGGGAACTTTTCCGTAGCAATTTGCGAGGGAATTGTCATATGACAAATTTCCCTTGCAAATTTATTTACAAGGGAAATTTACTGTTTTGCAAGGGAATTTTTCCCTCTCTGATTGGGAATTTTCTAGTAATGTATTTACCTTTCGTATTTACCAAGTGAATTAAAATAAGCATATGCTTTTCAAGAATGTTGTTCTAGTTAGAGCCATTTGTTAAACAACTATTAGATATTCGTAAGGATATATGATAACAATATAATGTGTTGTTTTTAGCGGTCTTAAACTATCTATTAAAAGGATATGCTTTTTTATGTATGGTTGTGGTCTTGACTCATGTGGACTTAATTTATTTATGATGGTGATATTGACTTGCTCGATTATTGTAATTTTTGTCTTTGGTAAAATTATTGCAATATTTAACACAGCAAGTCAATCTAGTGTTCCCTTAAAAATTTTAAGCAATGCATCCGTAATTGAAAATAATTAAGTCGTTATCAATAACGGATCGGTAAACCACATCAACAAAAGAACAAAGAGGAGTAAAGACTAATGCATTAAACACTAATGTAAGTATGCAATATAATTCTGTTTTTATCATGTTGCTGTCTTAATTTTCCATATGTTAGTCGAGATGTATGTGTATTGGAAAGGTCTCATTTCTCAAAAAAATTTATTATTCAAAACAACAAAGTTGACATGTTGGCGGACCCAAGAATTATTATAATGGGGGGCGAAAAAATTATATGTACTCGTCTATTCAATAATCACTGACATTCCAATTCATTTTGGCCAATGTTTCAACATTAAATCAGAATTCAAGTAGCTATTAGATTTGTTTTTGAATCACAGATAAACTGAGTGATAATCAAACTAAAATATAACTGATTCAAAATCCGACCACTAACACTAGTTGGTCTAGTTCAGTTTTTAAAATATTTTTCCATTTTAACTACCTAGTTCTAATTGTACCGGTCATAAATAGGTAAAAAGCTTCTAGTAAATACTTCTAGGGTATACTACCTATTTCCATTTAAAATACTTCTAGTAAATCTACATTTTGCATGTACCGGTCAAAAGCTTCATTTTTCACTTCAATACTTTTCTCTTTGTATTCCTTTAACTTGAAAAATCTCCGTTCGTTGATAGCTACAACATTCTGTAATCATTTACAATGCTATTACTTTTGTACAACGTAAAGCTTGTCATAACAAGTTTTACACTTAACCAGGCACTGTATATATATATTATGTGTATCTTTCTAGTCTGATGTTACAACCCGCCTTTAAATTAATTTTTTTATATGCAAAAATTTTAAATAAATAATTTTTTAAGGGGGGCGGGGGCCACCACTAGCCCCATGTAGGTCCACCCGTGCATGTTCCTCGTATAGTTTACCAGGTCAAAGAGCGTGTCTGATTGAAATGTCAATGACAATAAACTTTGGAAAGTGTCTTAGACGTAAGTACAACGCAGAAGTCAAAAGATAAAGTTCAAATCGCGTTCAAAACAATTCAAAGTTAATCCTTATCCGCAAAGAAACCTCCCTTCAACATGGTTGACCATTTCCGATCCTGTAACATATATATTACAACAAAGCTTCTGTACCCAACTAGTACCTCAGATTCTACATCAACAATATTAACAAAGAAACTCGTTTCTAAAACTCATTCTTCTGCCACCACCCTTTTGAACTTCAACCATCATGGCAAATCCACCTCCATCTTCTGCCACAGCCATCATCGATCCTCGGTACTGTGCTCCTGGTATGCACCTCTATGAACTTCAACTAGCACATTTTGTGCATGTTTATTAATAACTCTTTAAAAAAAAAAAAAAAAAAAATTCTGTCTATTACTTCTCTCTGTTCTAAGACAGAATTTCATTCTCATCATCATCCTTTTGTTCATTGTAAATCCATTTTGTACTTAGCTAGGCTCATTCTGTATGATCAATAAATCCTGTTTAGAAGCACAGTTTACATATTTATAAACTACCATTATTGTTACAGCTTCACATCCCGTTGATTTAATTATCACAAAGGAAAGGACTAGGCGTGATAACTTCACTGTCACAGACATTAATGGAAACATCGTTCTCACGGTTAAGAGTTCTCTCGTTACCTTCGTAACACCTCGCCAACACCTGTTCTTACTTGACGCTTATGGAAACCCCATTGTCCATCTTCGCAGAGCGGTTGGTTCATCAACTCCCATCTCAATTTTCTTTCTGCTATGAATTTCTGTTGCTTTTCCTCTATTTTTCCCTTATTGTTGGTATCTAATAATGAGTAGGAACATCTCAAGTATGTATTTCTTCTTCTTCTTCTTCTTTATATTGGTTAATGTGTGATAGAATCAAAGTGAATGTGCATAAAAGTTTTTGGTGGGATTAATTATAATATATGTAGGGAAAAACTACTCTTATATTGCATCATAAGAGTAGTTTTATCTCCTACACAATCATCGAAAATCGTGACATTCATTTTTCTTTTTTCTTTAAATGGCGGGTCCCACCACATATGTGTCACAACATGAAAAAAAATATCTCTATATATTGTAGGTGATTCTCGAGCAATTATGCTAATTAAACTGTTTATGCTAAAGTTGTTCATTTGTAATCGAATGGTCATGAATTTGAATTCAGAAAAATAATCATTTTGCATATATACAAGGTAAAATTACATAACGAAATTGTCATCAGAGTCAGGATTTAACGGGGAAAAGTGGTTTATTATTGTGTTGTGGGTGAGTAGTATCTTTTCAAGGAATGTTGTGTTGCACACTTGCACTTGGTAATTGGTATATATGGAGTATTTGACAAAGCTCATGTAAGACATTAAAATGTATCCTTTTAAGCATAAATCTGAAATTACAATTAGATTGAAGGACAAAATTATAAAATATATATATATAATAGTTCATGAATCAACATTTAATTAAGTAGTATTTCAAATTATGTACCAAAAAAAGAGAGAGTAGTATTTCAAATTTATGAAATTTAACTTGGAAGTGACTGCTTTGTCGTGCAGCTACTGGCAGCAAATGATAGTTGGAAAGCATTTAGAGGTGAAAGTGAGGAACCAAAGGATCTGATCTTTATTCGAAAGCGATCCTCGTCAATGTTCCATCTAAGGACCAAATTAAATGTGTTCTTGGCAAATAATACAACAGAAGTTTGTGACTTCAAGGTCAAAGCAAATTTGTCTGGAACATCTTGGGATGTTTACAAGGGCGAGTCTGACACTACTGTTGTTGCTCAGGTTTGTTTTTTGACACATAATTTATTATTGGAAAAAGTTGAATCAATGCTGCCGTGGTTTGTTTCAGAATTACTATATTATATGTTTTTTTTTATCATATATACCCCTGTGCTCTATAAAAAATAAAAAACTGCATATGTAATAAAAAAAAATATACCTTTTTACAAATCACAGGTATATATGTGATAAAAAAAAATCACAAAGATATAAGTGATTTTGAAGCAAACTACAGAGATATTGGTGAAGTTTTCCCTTTATTATTTTACTTAGTTCTCTGCAACAAAAAAGAAAAATGGTAAAAAAAAGATAAATTAATCCTTTTTTTTTTTTAGTACAGATAAATTAATCCTTTTTGTTGAGAATAGGTGTGAGGAAAAAAGTTTCATGTGAAATAAAGTAGAAAGACTTGCAATCTTCTTGCCTTATTAAAATTTTGGATCGCAATAGGACCATTGGTTTTGTTTATGGGGGTAGTTTGGATTCCCCCCTAATGGCCCAATATTTTGAATAAAATTGCTAAAGATATTTTTATCTTTTTTTCTTTTTCAAATTATAGACGCTAGAAAGAAGTGCTAATATTAGTTGAAAATACAAATTTATGGAGATAATTGTTATTGCAGATAAATAAGAAGCTTGGGACTATATTTAGCAGGGAGAAGTTCATGGTCACTGTGTGTCCGAACATCGATTATGCATTCATTGTGGCGCTAATTGTGACTTTTGATTAACCACGACCAAGGAAAGTTCACAGGGGAAAATTAAGCTTAATTTGGGCTAAAACTCTCTGATGGGTTATAGACTTATAGTTGTGTATCTCAGTTTCTTTAAGTAGTGTATTCTTTCGTTTTTTTCATCAGATGTAAGGGATAAAAATGAGATTATGTTGTACTTTTATTTTAATTGTTTTTTGTAAATTCTTTTAATGCTTTAAAGTATTATTTGCACGTTAGTTATTACAGCAACAATAATGCACAATTACATGAGTAACTTCATATATGAGTTGGAGAAAATCTTAGGTAGGACAACCTCAAAACATAATTAATTGATTAAATGAGGTGAGCTAACGATAGTTGTAAAGAATCAATTCAACCCACCCATTAAATTTGAAGTGTGGACAAAAATTCCAATAAAAAAAAAGTGGAGTACGGTGAGTGTAACGCCTGGCAACTTGCAAGGATTAACGACTGTCCCCACACACTAACACGAGACTTTTCAGCGTGCTTTGTCCTCACTCACACACTTCCCGGGAAAACTTTCCAAGAGGTCACCCATCCCAGAATTGCTCCAAGTCAAGCACGCTTAACTATGGAGTTCTTCCGTTCCAGGCTACCGAAAAGTAGATGCATCTTGTTAGTATAAGTAGTACCAATTAATTCTTATAAGCCATTCCCAACTGTACCGTCCCATACCAGCACAGTCTCTGGAATCCCTCTCTTTCGGGTGTTGATTCGATTCATTCATGTACCCCCGTCCCTAGAAGCCTGCCAGGAGCCGCTCCTTGTCCATGCCTTTTCGCACCGGCGATCACTCCGAGCCCTCGTCAGCGCCCGAGATGTTACATGCCCACCAGCTTCCGCCTGGTTCGTCCTTGAACCACACCGCCTGGTTCGTCCTTGAACCATACCGTACTGGAAGAGAGGCCATGCTCTGATACCACTTGTAACGCTCGGCTACTTCAAGAATCAACGACTATCCCCACATACTAACATTTGACTTTTCAGTGTGCTTTTTTCTCACTCGCACACTTCCCGGGAAAACTTCCCAGGAGGTCACCCATCCCAGAATTGCTCCAAGTCAAGCACGCTTAACTATGGAGTTCTTCCGTTCCAGGCTACCGAAAAGTATATGCATCTTGTTAGTATAAGTAGTACCAATTAATTCTTATAAGTCATTCCCAACTGTACCGTCCCATACCAGCACAGTCTCTGGAATCCCTCTCTTTCGGGTGTTGATTCGATTCATTCATGTACCCCGTCCCTAGAAGCCTGCCAGGAGCCGCTCCTTGTCCATGCCTTTTCGCACCGGCAATCACTCCCCGCCCTCGTCAGTGCCCGGGATGTTACAGTGAGAATTGAACCTAAGACATGAGACTTTGATATCATGTAAAGAATTAATTTAATTTAAAAATTAAGCTATTAAGTGATGACCTTTTTAATAATTTATATTATTCTCTAAAAATAATAGTTAGGTCAACTATCGAATAATGATAACCAAAAGCAAGATATGATGAATATTTAATTATTTTCTGGGTATACTGGTACACAATTCTTTAATTAGCTAACTTTCTAAAAAGTCCTAGATAAGTTTATGGTAAAATATAGATTCCAGTTCTGAACTGTAGTTCATTTTCACCTTGGTGCTCAACATTTATTTTGTAGCACATAATTCCTATAAACTACCGTAAGGAGTAAAATTCACACATAATTAAGGTGTTAGACTTGGTGGGAAAAAAAAATCCTAAATCATAGAAGATAACCGCCCCCCCTTAAAATGTAGTCAATTTTCAAGTTTATTATATAATTTTTTTTTTAAATGCAATGGTAGTGTATAAAGTTTTATTTTAACATCTTACACACCTCATGTGAATGCATTTGAGTGGTACTTTGTTAACTAATACCTCATTTAATTAATAAACTTCATATACCAAACTTGAGAAATGTAATATATGTAATTTAGCCTCTCTTTTTTTATTTTTGTATAAACAATACCCCAATTTTGGTCATTTTAGTGCCCCAAATTAAAATCCTCTTAAAAGGGTTTCAACGCTTACACACCTATAAATTACTTTATAAATCTTATTTCCAACAAAAAAAAAAAAACGCTTACACACCTATTCTAATTTGGATTATCAGCTCCTCTTTTTTTCTTTTGTCTTTCTTTTTTTTTCTTTATTTAATTATTTTTTATTTCTTTTCAGCCTCAATTCCTCTCATGTTCATTTAGGAGCTAGCAATACAATGGCGTTAAAGACTTTTTCTTTATTTATTATAAACGAGAAATAAAATTTAGTATAAGAAGATAAATGACAATTTCAATGAAGTTTGATCCTAAATAATTACTTGAGCTAAGACTCATGAGTTTGTCTTATATATTTTAGTTCTTCAAAAATGATTATATTTTAGATTTTCATTCAAATAAAAATAACTACAATCTCCATTATTGGTTTGTCACGTTCCTCTTGAATTCTGATAGCTAGTTTCGTACGTATAAAAAAATACAGAAGGAAAAAAAAAAAAAAAAAGCCAAACGTAGCATCTCATACGAATAAATAACTCATTTCTCATCTAACCAAAAAAAAAAAAAAAACTCATTTCTCTGTAGCTTCGTAATTTAATAAACTTTAGGCATATTGAGAAACCAGATACGATAATTAATATCAATGTCCCATAACAACTTCCCGTTTCTTAATCCATAATTATCATTTATTTATTTTTTATTTTTTTTGTAAATAAAGAGGAGCACACCCCAAAAAAACAAAGACTAAACAATCAGAAACAAACGTGGAGACATCCCTTAACAGGAGCTCCTTAAAAGAAGATTAATTATAGAGAGATATATATCAAACTAAAAAATTTGACATCAAATTTTAACAATTGATTTTCATTGATCTAAAATTTATTGGGTTATACTTATTAATTAATTATTAATTTTCAATAAATTATAGCGATTAAATTAATAAAAATCAATAATTAAGATTTAATATTATACATGAGATAGGATCTTTGACTATATATATATATATATATATATATATATATATATATATATATAAACAACCATCCTATCCCACATGCAGATCACACAAGAGCCAGAAGAAAAGGTCAAGGGCATCATTTTGGTGTTTCTTTCTCTTTAGTTCAATAACCATGGCGTATCCATATTATCCTCTGCCACAGCCCTCTGCTCCCCCTAACATGCCGGCGATTCCCAACGTCGTCATTGGTCCTCAATTTTGTGCTCCGTATCCAGTGGATCTGGCCGTCATGAAAAAGGTGATGACCATTTCAGATGGAAACTTCGCGGTTACAGACATGAACAACAATATTATTTTCAAAGTTAAGGGTTCTCTATTAACCTTACGTGACCGTCGTGTCTTAATCGACGCCGCTAACAACCCCCTTGTCACCCTACGACGGAAGGTTTGTAACTTTTTCTAGCAATCACCTATATCCTCGTTTTAATTGTTAAGCTTTTAGACTCTGATGCAAAATTTAAGACATACGGTATAATTTTTGTTCAATTATTTATTAATTTAATGTGAGTAAAACGTGTACAAAGAATTGTGCGTTTAAGTCATGCATAACTCCATGTGCGATTTGGACAAAAACCAAAATGCATCTATCATCTGTCGTGTTGTACAAGACCCATATGATATATGGGTGACTTGAATGCGCGGCCAATATGCACGTCTTGTATTGTGCTAATTTTTATGCAATAGTTGTGCATGAAAATTATACGTGTCTTAAATGCGCACGTTTTCTATATGCATTTCACTCTCATCATATTGATAATAATTTACCAAAACAAAATAAATCGGTGATATGTTTGTGATTTTGCTTTAGAAGAGTCAGAAAGCCTAATTTCTCTTGTTTTCTTCCATTTTTTTATTTTTTGTTTCTTGCGATCAAAAAGTTTTTAGGATCATACAGATACATATATGTCGTGACTCGCGATCATTAGAGTAGAGTTATTATGCTGATGTTTACAAATTTTATATTTTCATATTGTATAGTATAACATCTTTATATTGAAACCCTAATATTTATGTATTTGTAATGTTTATATATCACTTCCAATTCCTAAACCAAAAGTACATATGCTCTACACTGAAACTAATATATATGGTTTACTTTAAAAAGAATTAAAATCTAAAAGAAGTAATTTTAGTTTTTTATAGACTATAAAAAATTTGAAAAATCATTAACATATATTTTTAATCTATATCTGATTTTACTTTTGACTGCAAATATTTCACCCGTAAAAAAAAAAATCAATTTTGGACCAGGATTTTTACAATATTTTATTTTATTTTATACAATAATGACATTGAGTTTTGAACTTAATTACTCAAGACCCTCACCACTACATTGTTCTCGTGGCTTAAATGGCTTAAATCTTTACAACATTTTAGAATCCACTTCCACAAGTATTATTATTTACTAAGCATTTTTTTATAAAATTCACACAACTATTATAATGTTTTGAGAATAATACTTTCAAGTCCAATGAAATGATTAAATTGAATTAAGATATTAGTAAAGAATTTAAAATCAAATTTTAACTGTTGAGAGTATTAATATTCTCGTAATATTTCTGAATTTCTCCTAGATATGATCACATCATTTGATGTAGGACCATGCATCTCAAGAAATAAATCCTTTGTTTTTTTTTTATATCTTTTTTCAAAGCATTAATACACAAGAAATTCAGCAGTACTCTTAATCTTCATATAGCTCAAATGAATCACAATCTAAATTTAAGTGAATTTAATGTTACAACTTACAAGTAAATGTATATATTATTGATGCAGATAATGACTGCACATGATCGATGGCAAGCTTTTAGGGGTGAAAGCACAGAAACCAAAGATCTAATCTTCACTTTGAAACGATCATCCCTTATTCAGTTTAAGGCCAACCTAGATGTGTTCTTAGCCAATAACACCAAAGAAGATGTTTGTGACTTTAAGGTCAAAGGTAGTTGGTTTGAACGATCTTGCATTGTTTATGCTGGTGAATCTAACAACATCGTTGCCCAGGTAAATTTAAATTCCTCTGTTTAGATAAACAAAACAACTGGTTATTATTAACTACTTTTAGTGAATTATCACTTAACTATGCTAATTGTTTATCGAAAATAATTAAAACATCTTGCGGGAATGCTATTGCAGATGCATAAGAAGCATACTGTTCAGAGTATTGTGATTGGGAAAGACAATTTCATGGTCACAGTGTATCCCAACATTGATTATGCGTTCATAGTGGCGCTAATTGTGATTCTTGACGAGATTAACGGAGATGATGAGTAGTATGATGATCAATTAGAGGTAATGTTATATATATAGTAAGTTCTATTGTACTCCTTATGTTAGGTGATACTATTTCATAAAAGGGAAAAATGTTTATCCTTTTAAATGACACAACTTACATCCTTTCACTCTCACAAAGAGGTGGGACTCACACCTTTATTTTTTTCTGTCAACTCTCTCTCTTCCTTTATCTATCTCTTTCTCTCTCTTAAAATGACACAACTTTACATCCTTTAAAATGACACACACTTTACCCTTCATAAAATTATTGTATGCTTAATAATATTTTAAGACTTGTATATTAAGCACTTAAAAGGTATAAGCCTGTTTGAATGGACTTTTTTCTCTCCAAAAACTGCTTTTTTTTTTCTTGAAAAAAAGTACTTCTCATTTTTAGTTCGTTTAGATGTCTGCTTTTAAAAAAAGCATAAGTCATAAAAAAGTCAAAAATCTACTTTTTTCAAAAGCTAAAAATTTTAACTACTAAAAAAAACAGAAGTCAAAAGTCAAATATTTTTTTCAAAAACTAAATATTTTTATAAAAATATAAATATCTTTAACTTTTATAAAAAGTACTTCTAAAATAAGAAATAAATAAAAGTTACTTTTTTTAGAAGGCGAAACAAACGAGCTCATATATAATTCAGTGATTCAAGCTAATGAAAATTATATATTTTTTGACTTGTTTGTGTGGAGAAAAGAAAAATTTTGTTTTTTTTTTTCTATAAGTGACAACTCCTCAATGAAAGGAGTAAGTGTGCTGAGACTACTACAAAGCATGTAGTTTTTTTTTTGGGGTAAATAGAAACATGTGCACGTAAAAGTTTTTATTACGTGTCATTAGTACTCTTCTCCCGGAAATAATGCAACAGAGTCTCGCCGACTTTATTTGTTTTTTTTACTTGGTGGGTTCCACACTTTTTCTTTCAATAGGAAAATTAATAGTTTCACTTTCTCCTCAACGAGAAACTATTAACCCAATAATGCACAAGGGGTGCTGAATTAATCAAAACAACAGAAAAAGTAGAGGAATGAGACATCAAAAGAAGTCAACTAAGGAAACGGTCCTCAGAAACAAGTGGAAACCATGACAGTTGTTTAAATATGTTGAACTTGTCTACACATGCTAACCCAACAGCCATAATGTACACCTTTGTAATGTTTGTCTTGGTTATATATGCACTATCTAGTGCGACTATTATTGTTCCTTTGGGTAAAAATTAATAGGAGAAAATCAATATTGGTGTAGTTGGCTAAGGAATAGGATTAGACTCATATCTTGCAAGGGCGTGAATTTGATTCCCACTAACCGATGTAAAGATTTTATCGGTGATGGAATTTATATTTCTTCTTAGAGATTGGAGTATGGTATTTAACCCCACCTAAAAAAAAATCAATAGGAGAAAATATACGCAATAAAATCTGGGAGTAGATTTTCTTATGTGAAAAAGTAGTCACGTGGTCATGTTATTTGATTACAACCATTTATTGATGATGAGATAAGAGAAAAAAAAATGTATAACATGATCACATGACCATTTTTTCACATGAAATAATCGACTCTCATAAAACTTTGAACATACAGGACAAGCTGTAACCACAAAAAAAGAATAAAAAAAGAAAGAAAGATAAACTACTAGTAAGACATCATGGCCTGACACTAGGCTTAGATACCGCATCTCACCTTTTTCTTTTCTAAGATAATTCATGTCTCCAATGAAATGGAAATGAATACAATATAATAAATAAAAACTCTTTCATTACATGTAACATCCTTTATAATTTATTAGTATAGAGAATATTATATTAGTTCTTAAATCTTAATTTAAATAAGAGAATATGAATTATAATAAAATTCAAACATAACATCAAATAAGACATGTGACAAAATATTCTTAAAGTTTAATTGTACAGAACTCAAATTCACTATTATATCGAAAATACACCTTAATCTAAACTGAAAAGAAATATTTTTTTTTCCTATTAATTGCTCCACTGAACTCCATATAGTCTTCAAAATCTTTAATCATAGTGTTTACCCTACTCCAAAGCTATCCCTAGTGGCATGTCGTTTACTCTAGAAAGGTTAGCATAAAAACAAACACACGTGAGATAAATCTCTGTAATATTAGGGTTTTTGAACTATAACCAATCCAGCCACTTTAGTGAAAAATATCATTCTCACAGAATAAAATTTATAATAAGAAAATAATATCATAAACAATAAATATAAGCCCAAACCTTTGTGGGTTTTTCATTCAGCTATACCCAAACCTTTGAGGGTTCTACCCAAACTTTGTGGGTTCTAGATACATATATACAAACGTGTAATCTTTAACTGAAATGACTAATGTTCAATTCTGTAAGCGCTCAAATTCTGTGGGTTCTGTATGTGAATGATTCTGTATGGCGGAGCTCAAGCTATGATAAGGCGTCCCTTACCCTATAACCATTCTGATCCCCTTGTGGGTCAGTCACAGCAGAATCATTCAGTAAAAGATTACATATTCCATTAGTATTCATTTAATACCAAAAGAAATTCTTTAATTTCTATAAACTTGATTCAAGATCATTTTCATATCTGATATAAGTAAATTCATCAAATTCACAAAGCCAAATACTGAAAATAAAGTAAAAGAATAGAAAGAATTCATAAAATAATTTTGGCAGAGTAACGACATATTCACAATTTTTAAAGAAATTTTAACATAACATAAATAATAACATAACCAACATAGCTTTCTAAAATAAATAAAAATCAATTTTAAAAGTAAAGGAGAGAAAGAGTTGCTTACTCTCAATATTAGCTTCCGTATTCTTTTCTTTTTTTCTTTCTTTCTTTCTTTTTCTCTTCTTCTTCCCCTTTCTTTCCTTCTCTCTCACTCTTTCCTTCTCTCTCTTTCCTTCACTCTCTTCTTCTTACCGTTAAGTTTATTGGGGGTTATAGAATTTAAAAAAAAAATGTAATCATTATTTTTAATAAAAATCTAAGAAATTTAATTATTACCTTTATAAATATCTAAGGAATCTAATCATTACTCTTATAAAAATTTAAGGAATCTTAATCATTATCTTTATAAATATCTAACGAATATAATCATTACTTTTATAAAAATATAAGGAATCTTAATCATTACCTTTATAAAAATCTAAGAAATCTAATCATCACTTTTATTAAATATCTAAGATATTTTATTCTAAATATCTAAGATATCTTATATTTTATTGATGAAAATTATACTTACAATCTTTTTTTTACAACCTCTTATAACTATATCTTAATACCGTTGATTTCCACCAATCAACAGTTATCTTTTATTGTGAATTAATAATTAATTAATGAGTTTAATTTGCGAAAATCATAATCGTTGATTGGCAAAAATCAACGGTGTTAAGATATGGTTGTAAAAGGTTGTAAGTATAATCTTCCTCTATTTTATTTATTATTATTATTATTTTAAAATATTACATTACAGGGGTTTGAAAATAAATGCAAAGATCGATATTCAAACAATAGAGAGGGACCTGCTACGATTTTATATGGAAATGGTTGTACACAAAATTTCTTATATCATTTTACACTGGTTAATGATATATAACTCTTTGGTTAGAACTTGTTAAGTTAACGAATTTCAAACAATATACATGTTAATCCAGCAGTATTCGGTAAGAAATTGATATAAAATTATGATTTGCGAATAGCAATATTAATTTAATACGATAGTTGTTAAAACTGAAGAGATCGCAATTCACAACAATGAATTCAAGTGGCTACGGTCATCTAGGCCACAAAGCATTAATCTTAGAAAGTCAATGGACCAATGAGATAAAGAATAATTTATACTTCAGTTAAGTTTGGTGTCAGAATTGATTAAGCTGTCAGTTAACCAAATGAAATCTCATATTAATTGTGGTAATGGATTAACTGAAATTTATATAAGTGGAAGGATCCATAAATTTAATACTTTAAAGTTTTGAGTTGAAACATGATATTCACTTATTATAGTTAGTCTAACTTAGTCATTTATAATGGTCTCTTGACTGAAATTAATAGAGTTTAAGAATTGATATAATAGAGACAGAGATGAAGGTTAGCATTCAAAATATCCAGCTAGGGGCTGAACTACAGTAGCTCTCCCAGAATCTTCGAGTAAACATTAAAATATATTTTACACTTTTGGTTTTCAGTTAGTGAATTTCTTATTGACTTTTTATTTATTCTTTATACAAATGTAAGTATTAACAAAATTACTAAATAAACCTTACGAATGGAGAAGAGTTATAAACAATTTTTTAGGCAAAATTAGTAAAACTAGTAACATTGAAATTAAAACACCCATACAATTGCACACACATACACAGAGGTCAGTATGGGCCAGTTCCTGGTTGATACACTTTCCTGAAAAAAATTATGTAACTGATGTGCCATTGCAGTTTAACAAACAAAGACACAGTAGTTACGGGGTTTCTCTTGGGGCCAATGGCAGAGAAAACAGAGTACATGAAGACAAAGGTGCCAATTATTTCAGCACCTGGAGGCTAGAGCATTTTCGTGTTAACTGTAAAGAATGATACTACTGAAATACTTCTGTTCATTGATATCTTTACCTCTTCAATTGAGGTGTATAAATACACAAAACAAGATTTTAAACTTCCTAAAAATCCTCTAACAAAATAAAGAATCAAATACTTTGTTGCTGAAACAGAAAAACAAATATTCTTTGTTACAACAACTTTCTAAATTTAAACTTCCTAATCTAACACTCCCCCTCAAGTTGGTGCATGGATGTCATACATGCCTAACTTGTTGATTGCATCTTTTAGAGCTTTTCCAGAGACTGCCTTTGTCAAGATGTCTGCAAGTTGGTTTTCTGATCTGATGAAAGGAGTGGTGATAATTTTCTGATCCAGTTTCTCTTTTATGAAGTGTCTATCCACTTCAACATGCTTCGTTCTATCGTGTTGAACCGGATTATGAGCAATTTCAATAGAAGCTTTATTATCACAGTAAAGACTCATAGGAATATTATAATTAATTCCCAAATCATTCAGAATATTTTTAATCCACAATAATTCACAGACACAGTATACCATACCTCTAAATTCTGCCTCAGCACTGGATCTTGCAACAACTTTTTGTTTTTTACTCCTCCAAGTGACTAGATTGCCTTCTACTAGTGTAAAATACCCTGAGGTAGATTGTCTAGTCGTTTTATCACCAGCCCAATCAGAATCAGTAAATCCTTCAATGCCTTTCTTGTTGTTTTTTGAAAACAGAATGCCTTTTCCAGGTGACCCCTTTAAATACCTTAGAATCCGATATACAGCCTTCATGTGATCTTCACTAGGAGAGTGCATAAACCTGCTTACCATCCCTACTGCATATGCAATGTCAGGCCGAGTATGTGAAAGGTAAATGAGTCTTCCTACTAGTCTTTGATACCTTCCAATGTCAGTCTTCACTTCGTCTGGATACACTCCAAGTATATGATTCATTTCAATGGGATTCTCAGCTGGTTTACAGCCTAGCATTCCGGTTTCTGATAAGAGATCTAGTATATATTTTCTTTGAGATAGAAATATGCCATTCTTGGATCTTGCAATTTCTATCCCAAGAAAGTATCTTAAAGGACCTAGATCCTTCATTTCAAACTCAGTTGCCAACCGATTTTCCAGGGACTTCATCTCATCAATGTCATCTCCAGTTAGTACCATATCATCAACATAAACTATCAGAATAGTTATCTTCCCTGCTCTATGTTTATAAAACAGGGTATGATCACAATTACTCTGTTTGTACCCAAACTTTCTCATTGCTAAGGAGAGGCGCCCAAACCATGCCCTTGGTGATTGCTTGAGTCCGTATAAGGCCTTTTTCAGCTTGCAAACTAGATCTCCATTTGATTGAGTTAGTTTCACTCCTGGTGGTATATCCATGTAAGCTTCCTCCTCTAAGTCACCATTTAAGAAATCATTCTTTACATCAAACTGTTTCAAGGGCCAATCCCTGTTCGCTGCTAGTGAGAGTAAAATCCTTATAGTATTAAGTTTGGCTACAGGGGCAAACGTCTGTTGATAGTCAATCCCATACTTCTGTGTATATCCCTTGGCTACTAGTCTTGCTTTGTACCGGTCTATACTTCCATCTGCCTTTAATTTTACTGTGAATACCCACTTACACCCAATTGTCTTTTTTTCCTTTGGCAGAGGTATTAATTCCCAAGTTGAATTTTTTTGAAGTGCCTCCATCTCATCATTCATTGCTTTCTTCCAGTTGGGATCATCAAGTGCTTCCTGTACACTACTTGGAATTGACACACTAGATAATTGATTAACAGATAAAGCATATGATTCAGATAAGTGTTGGGTAGATACATAGTTGCTAAGAGGATATTTGGCCGTTACTTTAGGGTCAGGTTCATAGAATTTTTTTGGAATACCTTTGTTAATCCGAGTGGATTTTCTGACATGTGTGTCAAGTGTATTAGCAGGAGGGATAAGAGTTACCTCATGTTCTGTTTGAATTTGGGGATGAACTCCAGGGACAATCATAGGAGAGCCTTCGGTTATGTGTGTTAGAGTAGGATCTTCATTTTGAGCTGTTGTTTCTGCTTCGGTTTCAGCTTCATTTTGTGCTTCAGATTCTGCATTTTGTGTTGCATTTGGTGCTGCAATGTCTGCTACATTTGTCCCTTCGGATTCTGCATTTTTTCCTGCGGTTTCTGCTGCATTTTGAGTATCCAAGAGAGGGGCTGAGTTAGAGAGCCAAACTTCATCTTCTGTATTAATTGGTGAAGCTGGATTCTCCCCCTCAGAAGAAGAAGTTGAGGCTCCCCCTGAGTAATAAGGCTCATTTTCCCTGAAATTGACTTCTAATATGACATATATTTTGTGAGAAATAGGGTCATAACAACGATAACCTTTTTGTACGTCCGAATACCCAACGAAAATACATTTTCTAGCACAAGGATCCAATTTAGATCGCTGAATTTTGGGGATATGAACATAAGCAGTGCATCCAAAGATTCTAGGTTCAAGGGTAGATGGATGAGGGATAGAACAATAAGAGGTAAGTGTCTGGTAAGGGGTTTGGAAATTAAGGACACTGGAGGGAGTTCTATTTATAATATAGGCAGCAGAAGTGACAGCCTCACCCCAATAGGAGGAAGGGACATGCATTCCAAATAAAGAGGCTCTAACTACTTCCATGAGGGTACGGTTCATTCTTTCGGCTAAACCATTTTGCTGTGGTGTGTAGGAACAGGAAGTGTGGTGTATAATTCCATTAGAGGTCAGAAAATCAGAAAAAGCACCAGCCATGTACTCCATTCCATTATCAGACTGAAGGATTTGAATTTTAGTGTTGAACTGATTTTGAACCATGCAAAAAAATTTCTTGAAGACAGAATAAACTTCGCTTTTATTTTTCAAGAGACTTACCCAGCACATACGAGTACATTCATCAATGAATGTTACATAATAAAAGCAGTTAGAAAAAGATGATATTTTTGCTGGGCCCCATACATCATAGTGAATAACTTGGAAGGGAACACAACTTTTATTCAAACTTGGATAATAAGGAATTCTATGGCTTTTGGCCAGCTCACAAACCGAGCAATGAAAATCACTGACTCTCAAATTATTAAAAAAACTAGGAAACAATTTATGGAGATATCTAAAGGAAAGGTGACCTAGTCTCCTATGCCAAAGCCAGACTTTATTTTTTGCAGAATCCATAACAGAGGTAGCAGCCACACAAGGAGAGGAGAGACTGCCGAATTGAGAAGCATCCAGGTAATACAATTTTCCTCTTCTAACACCATAACCAAGAATCTCCTGTGTCTGGTTGTCCTTGAAGATACAAATATTTGGCAAAAAATTCACAGAACAGTTAGAATTAGAGGTAATTTGACTAACAGACAATAGATTAAAATCTAAAGATGGAACAGCCAAAACAAAGGAGAGATGTAACCGATTGGAAAGGGAGATGGAGCCTTGGCCAACAATGGCAGATGTCCCACCATTAGCTGTAGAAATTACACTCTTTGGGGAAGGGATGAGATTAGACAATAAATGGGGATATCGAATCATATGATCAGAGGCACCCGTATCAATTATCCATGAATCAATTGCAGATAATGTAGAAAGAGCATGAGACTTACCAAGGATGCCTTCATAAACTGCATTGGCTGAAGGAAGAGGGCCCGAATCAGTGATGGGAGATGATGCTCTGTTCAAGGATTTCCGGCGAGGCCTCTTAGTGAAATCCCACCAATCGGGATAGCCAACGATTTCGTAGCATCGATTCTTTGTGTGACCAGAGTCGCCACAGTGTGAGCAAATAATCTTAGAAGCAGACCCATCCCTGCGAGACTTCAGAGGGGTAGAGGATGACCGTGAGTTGTGAGCCACCATGGCTGAGGAATCATTAGTGGAGAGAGGTCTATTCATGGTAACACGTTGCTGCTGTTCACGCCGAACATAGGCGTATGAAGCTTCAAGATCCAACTTAGGATCCTTTCTTAAAATCTCACCCCTGACCTGTTCAAATTCAGCATCAAGACCAGAGAGAAAAATATGCACCCGCATACGCACCATGGCTGAGTGCATCTGGACAACAGCGGCAACCGTGCCTGCCTGAGATGAGGTCCGATGGTCAATATCCTGGAAGATGGAAAGAAGGTCGTTGAAATAAGTGGACAGTGGCTGGCCATTTTGTTTGGTGTTGAAGGACCGTTGATTCAACTCAAAGAGAACCTTTCGTCTGAACCATCAAAGAAGGTTCGCCGGACAGCATCCCAAATCTCCGATGCACACTCGATTCGGATGAAGCGCTGCATGAGGGGAGGAGACATGGAATCAATTAACCAGCTTTTCACCTTCTTGTTTTCAGTCACCCACGTATCAAAAAAAGGATCAGCCGCCGGTGGTTGCTTGGTGGCACCGGTGAGATACCCGGTTTTGTTTCGCGCACCAATTCGCATATCAAGTAACTGAGACCAAAGCGGATAATTGTGGTCATCAAGGACAACAGTGATGGAAAAGGAGGAGGAATCTTGTTGGATAATAATGTTTGAGGAAGGTGGGGTAGGGGCGGTGGGCGATGAAGGAGGTGAAGATGCCATCGAGTGAAAGAAATTAGGGATTAGGAAAACGGTGACGTTTGTGGGTGGGAAAAACGGGAAGAAGTGGTATACGGGTTGGGTGTACTTTCGGGTGGCAAGAAATGGTGCGGGTATTTGGTTACAGAGGAAGAAAGAATGCGGGTATACGGGTTGGATTCGGGTAAAAGAAAAAAAAACAATACGGGTTTTTTCCTTCTGGGTAAAGGAAAAAAAGAAAAATCTGAAAAAAAACAAGGTTCCTAGATCAGAACGCTCCTGATACCATGTAAAGAATGATACTACTGAAATACTTCTGTTCATTGATATCTTTACCTCTTCAATTGAGGTGTATAAATACACAAAACAAGATTTTAAACTTCCTAAAAATCCTCTAACAAAATAAAGAATCAAATACTTTGTTGCTGAAACAGAAAAACAAATATTCTTTGTTACAACAACTTTCTAAATTTAAACTTCCTAATCTAACATTAACAATACAAATTTAGAATAATATATTTATTGCTATATGTTATAAAATTAAGGGAAAAATATGTGTCGTTTTAAAAGATGTAAAATTATGTTATTTTAAGTGATAAAAAAATAGATAAGAGATGAGAGAGAAAGAGTGTACAAAAATAAAATAAAAATATGAGTCCGCCTTTTTGTTAAAGTAAAATAATATAAGTTGTATCATTTAAAATGATAAATATTTTTCTCTAAAATTAATCTACTGACATAACTTTAAAATATGTGTTACACATTTATTTTAATAAATTGTATATTACACACATTTATTTAAAATATGTGTCATTGACGGATGCAATTTACAAAATATATATATATATATATATATATATATATATATATATGCCAAAGTTTATACTTTCTCGTAACTATGAGAATGAGACACAGAATTGGCACCCAGAGATGCTGACTCGTCTATATTATATATTAAGCAACCGAGTACAATACGGATAACTTCAAAAATAAAATAAAAAAGGGCAACACGGAATTGAAAAACTCTGACTATTGAATGATAAAAGGCTAACAATAGTATAACCTTATTTTTGAATGAGTCAATTGACGTAAAACTTTATGAGAATATTATGAAGAGTTACTTTTTTCTACGTCAATATAGAAAAATTATTTATATTGAGCTCAAAATGATATTATTATGAGATAGAAATTAAAGTATTTTGAATTATAATTTATTTCAAGGTTATAATAGTCTTTTTTATTATATATTTTTTTTTTAACTAAAAAAAAAGTCATTTTAAGAGTTAATATAAATAACTTACCTATATTTAATGTAGAAATATTAAAGCCTATTATTAATTGTTAAATCAAGTCATATATAAATTTTAGGGGAATATTCACCGAGACTCTTTTGATTTGCTTTAAAATCATCTATATTCTTGTGATTTTTTTTTATATCTCCATGATTTGTAAAAAAATAAAAAATTACATGAATATTTATGATAAAAAATATATTCTTTTACAAATAACATGAACATATATGATAAAAGAAATATAGAAGTGATTCTAAGTAAATCAGTTGAACTTTTTTCTAACTTTTATGAAGAAAAAAAAAGTCATATATAACTTTTAGGGGAAATGATTTTTTCTGTCAATAGATATAAGTTATCTCCAATGAGTTCAAAACAATGTCGTTTTGAGACGAAAATCAAGATATTTTTGTAATTATAACATATTACAAGGCTATATTAGTTTTTATCATTATAATTTTTTAATCTTATAATTACAAAATGACGTCATTTTGAACTCATTCGACATAATTTTATTAACTGAAAGAAATACTTTATATAAAGAGTTTGTTTTTTCTAAAGTTACTTTAGATAACTTTATCTAATGTTCATTGAAACGACGTCGTTTTGGAACTGAAATCATGGTGTTTTTGTAATTTTAATTTATTTCAGGGTTATAATAGTCTTTATCATTCTAATTTTTTAATTTTTCAACTTCAAAACGACGTCGTTTCGATGAATATTAAATAATGTTGTCTAAACTAATCTGTGAAACTTTTTTCCCTTATATAAAAGTCATAGTTCCTCATCATTTCTTTATATAAAGTTCATCATTTCTTTAAGCAGGTTCATAGTTCCTCATCATTTCTTTATATAAAAGTCATTCCCCTCATCAACCCCATAACCCACAAAGTCTTTTCCCCAATATGGCTTATCCTAATCCTTATCCAGCACAACCACAGCCCTATGCCTCTGGTTCCGCCCCTATGCCGGCGGTTCCAACCACCGTCATAGGCCCTCAGTACTGTGCTCCGTACCCGGTTGATCTGGCTGTGGTGAAGAAGGTGATGACCATCTCTGACGGCAACTTTGTAGTCACTGATGTTAACGGCAACATCGTCTTCAAAGTTAAGGGTTCTCTCTTAACCCTCCGTGACCGCCGTGTCTTGATCGACGCCGCCGGTAAACCCATCGTCACCCTGCGCCGGAAGGTTTGTAATTGTCCCTCCACCTTCCACCCACTTTCTCTTGTTTTTTTTTTTCTTTCCATTTTCTATATTCCTGCAAATATCAGAAAATTAAAAAGAATACCAAGATTTTCAAAACGATTATTATTATTATTATTAATATTATTTTGATGAATCACAGATCATAAACAGTATACAATATACATGTATATATATCGTGATCATGAGATTTTTAGTTTTTTCATTAAATGTTGATAATAAAAAATTTAGTTTTCATATTTTAATAATATAAAATCTTTATTTTAAGACCCGAATATTTATATATCAGTTATGTTTGTATTACTGAAAAATATTTTTTCATATTACATGATAATTTAATTTTTATGTTGTGTATAAAAAAAAATTAATTAATATAAGATCCACCATTAATTAAATCACAACATAAAAATTCAATTATGATATAATATGAAAAAAAATCGAATCCCTTACTTTAATGCCAATTCGTTGCATGTGATGTGCGGGGAATTATACTATAAAAAACAAAGTTGACTTTTTCATGCATGTTGTCTACAATTATTTATTAATTAAAAATATTTTTTGTTTGGTTAATGAAAGGGCCGAAGCCCAATTAATTAAAAATGTTTTTAAGATAAACACATGTTTCAACCTTATTATTTGATTCATTTTCGCATTTTGTGCTTATAATTTTATTTTAACCTATTATATGTTGCATATTTTTCGGGTTACAAAATCACATAATCCATGTGTTTGGTTCTCTCTTTAAACCCCCCTAACATTTTTAGATATTACCAAAGTTTTTGTGTATTATAAAATAAGTTTTTGCAACAAATATCGAAAACGTGAAATTTCAAAGGCGAAAATCTTAATTAATTTTATCGAATATTTTAAGCAAATGAGACTTTTCCCTTTTGACAGCAACAGTTTGAGCCGGAAATAAGCTTATAGAATATACTTTCAAAAATATTAATAGTCAATTTTTATTTTTTTTAATTGTTCACACAATCCTAATGTAAAATACCGTAAACTGTCTATTTGTGTAAACAAATTCTTTGGTGAATTGCTAATTAAATATACAATTTATTTTGTTTTTATTTTTTGGGTGACTATTCCAAAGTATTTTATAAACAAAAAATTCAGGATTTTTATTTTTTTTAGTAATATCCTCACATCATCATTGAACTCTATAATTCATATACCCCCATCAATCACAATCTAAAATTGAGTTAGTTTAATGTTACAAGTAAGCTGTATTATTGATGCAGATGATGAGTGCACATGATCGATGGCAAGCTTTTAGGGGTGAAAGCACAGAAACCAAAGATCTAATATTTACTCTGAAGAGATCTTCCCTTATTCAGTTTAAGACCAAATTAAATGTATTCTTAGCCAATAATACCAAAGAAGATGTTTGTGACTTTAAGGTTAAAGGTAGCTGGTTTGAACGATCCTGCGTTGTTTATGCTGGTGAATCCGACACCATTGTTGCCCAGGTAAAAAAATTCCTCTGTTTATATAACCAAAATAACAATTTTTTTTTCCTTACCAAAAATCCAATCGGTTTTAATTAACTACTTTCAGTGAATTACCACTGTATGTTACAATATTAACACTAACCAATAAAATAAATATATTTCGCGGGAATGTTATTGCAGATGCATAAAAAGCATACAGTTCAGAGTATTCTGATTGGGAAAGACAATTTCACAGTTACGGTGTATCCCAATATTGATTATGCATTTATAGTGGCGCTAATTGTGATTCTTGACGAGATTAACGAGGATGAGAAGGTAGATTAGAGGAATGTTATAAAGAAAAATGTATAATTTTTAAATAAGTGGTTATGATCAAATAATATGATCACATGATCACTTTTCCACATAAGAGGATCCACTCTTACGTCAAGATCTATTGTACTTTATATCAATGGTACTATATATTTCACGTGTATTAATTATTTTATGTATGTCTCTATATTGGATGAACCATGATAATCTGTGTCTCTATTCTTTTTTCCCTTCTTTCTTTTTTACTTGCGATTGTATGTATGTTTATAATTCAGTCCCAACAATTACCGATTCCATTTCTGAAAAAAAAAAAAATCAATTTTATTAAATATAATTTTTAACTATTTTTATTTCTAGATTAGAATTAATAAGAATATTTTGAAAATATTATAATGCATATCCTCACTAGTGAGAATAGTCGCTTGTCTCTAAACATCTTCAATCATTTCGATGCAGTGGATGTTCCTTGGTATTATTCTGTCAATGCTCTGGTGCGCTCTTTACATTTGTGATTGCATCACCCAGAATCCAGATTAACATAGAGTTTTAACTTTTAACCCTTGATTTATTTTATCCATTATATCTAGATTGCCTTGCGTTAATCATATCTAGATTTTCACTTATTACAAACTCGATTGCTACTAGAAGCTGAACATGTATTCTTCCAACCTAGTTTGTGAATAGCCTGGCCCGTGAGTTTTTCGGCCCACCTATTTGTCATAGACCTCGGTGTCGAAGTTAATGTTCTTAACTTTTGCACAATTGGGTTTATTGGCAATGGGAATGGTTTCATTGGGCCTGATATAATTTATAGTTTTTTTCTTTTTATTATAATTTTGTTTTCCATGGGAATGTAATCTGTTTATTAAAATTGATATTGATGTTAAGTTCAGCAAAAAACAGTGTTTTACCCTTTACATTATTACTTTGGAAAATTGACAAATAATATGCACATATTAATTGTTATTATTTAAGGACATGCAAGTTGAACAGATTGATAAGCATTAACTGAAATAGATAAATTTTCCGAACCTACTTTTTTCTAACCAAAAAATAGTAGTTTAAAAAAATTTCTCTATTGCTAAGCTTATTTGAATAAACTTGCATATCCTTATATAATATCAATTCCTTTGAAAAATGACTCATATTAGTAATTTTATTTTTTCTTGTTTATTTTAAGCATTCAAATATTTGGCATATTCACACCCTTTAATATTTTTTGGTGAACGATAAATTTTATCAATTTAACTGCTGATTGAAAGTTCCCATCAAGTATATCATGCTTCTAAAATTTTATATAATTTTAAAACTAATCAATACTTTTTTGCACCACTTTATTTTAATATATAATATGATATTTAAATATATCTATTATTAAATTGCATATTTATAAATGTTCAGATTATCTAAAATTCAGTATATATAATCTTTTTAAAATAATATTACATTCGATTCAATGACTGGATTTTTTTTTTTTGATAACATCAATGACTGGATTATACACACTTATGTAGCACCGATACGACACGCGACACGTGACACGATACGACACGACACTCCGACACGTCAATCCTAAAAATTTATGGATTTCGACACGTTGGGACACGTTTTAATATTAAATAATATTTTTAATTTATATAGTGTATATTTCATTTAATATTTAATAATTTAACAAAAAAAATGAAACTAAATTAATAATACCCATCAACACGTTATAAAGATGGAAGCTTTAATAAAAAAAATAAGAACTGGGATGAGAGAGAGATATAATATCAGATAGAGAGATCAAATCATATTAGAGAAAGATCAGAGAGAAGAAGATACAACAAGAGCGTGATAGAAATTGACAACAATGATGCTGAGATGATCTCTTATCTACTTAAGGGAAAAAAAGAAAAAAAGAAAAAATTGATATGATCAGGTGGAAGCTTTATTAATATATTTTAACTTTTAAAAAAAAATTAAAAAAAAAAATAAAAAGAAAATTACGAAAATGCCATTTGACCGTGTCGGACACGGTCAAATTCGCGTGTCGGAAAAAGTCAACCGCGTGTCCGACACCGTGTCGGAGCGTGTCGCCGTGTCGGACCCGACTCTTCCTGTTTTTACAAGTGTCCGTGCTTCCTTGGTACACACACACACACATATATATATATATATATATATATATATATATTACTTCTTTCTCTCTCTTTTTTTGGTAGTCTACTTCTTTCTCTTAATTAAATGCTTTGATTGACTAGCTTTTACTTTCAAAATTAACAAGTGAATTAAGATGAGCATATGCTTTTCAAATTTTATGTTGTTCCAGTTAGATGCCATTTATTAAACTATTAGATATTCGTAAGGATCTATAATAACAATTAATAATGAGTTGTTTTATGTGGTCTTAAATCGACTATAAATAAAAGGACTTAATTTTTTTTTTTATAACAAAAAGGACTTAATTTTTCATATAGGGTTGTGGACTTTCTATGTTTACGGGGATGATGGTGATTGGAGATGAAAATGACTTGCTCGATCATTGCAATATTTAAAAAAGTAATTCGATCTAGTCATCCCTTAAAATCTTTAAACATTGTGCATCCTTAATTGAAAATAATTAAGTCCTCATCATTGCAAGCCAATACGTAAACCACGTCAATAAAAGAACAAACAGGAGTTGTTACCCAAAAAAAGGTATAGACTTACAATCTTCTAATTGACACTTCTTAATTTTACACATAAAATTATGGGTTTTATAAGAATTATGTTGCAGGAAAAGTGATTGTATAATGTTATAGAAATTTATTTTGCGTGCCTTAGTTTTTTTTTTTTTACTTCAAAAAGTGCGAGTCGCACAAAATGTTACATGTGTAGGAAATTTTTGTGTGTAATGTGACATGATAGATGCAAATCCCTAAAATTATATTGCAACTTCTTCATGATATTTCAATTGTGTCAATACATTTTTTTTATACAAATATAAAAATTAAACACATAACCTAATGTAAAATATATTTTAACCATGACGTGTGGCTTAATTGAGAAATTAAGTTTTATAAAAATGGATTTTTATAGTATTGGCTGCAGAGCCACATTAGCCACGTTTTAAACATTAATAAATAACTTTTGTTATGTTGTAGCACTTAAAAAGGATATAATTTAATGTTTAATACCCGCTAAATTTTTTTGACACGTACTAATAGTCGCTTGAAGTACTTCACGGTTATAATAAGTACCCGAAATAATCTCACACCTGAATAGGAATACTTTTTTTTGGAAATAATAGGAAATTAAAACAAAAACACAACAAAAAGAAATTAGGCACAAAGCCTAGACCAGTGAACACCTATAGTGTCACCATACAGACTATCAATACAACCTGACGGTGGACAATTAAATTCCTGAATTACCCAAGAGAAACCATAAGAGTAAGAGGCTAGAAAGTCCGCTACTCTATTTCCTTCACGGTGAATGTGAGACATATAAATCTGCCAATCTCGCTGCATCAAATTTCGAATACGATTCACCAAATTAGCCGCTGGGTAATCATGGTGGCACCCATTTGTAATGAGCTGTTGAGCTGAAAGAGAATCTCCTTCGAGCCAAACTTGCCTAAAACCTCTATCCCAATCTAGCTCCAAACCAACCAAGCAAGCCCATAACTCAGCATGCAAAACTGTACCTGAGCTTAAATTTTTACAGAATCCGACGATCCAAGTTCCTGAGGCATCGCGAAAAACTCCTCCACACCCAGTCCTAGTACCATTAGCATCACATGCACCATCAACATTAAGCTTAACCCAATCCACAGGAGGACAACACCAAGCAACCAATCTCTCTATTCGATTCCTTGGTTGATTGCCCGCTCCAAAAACAGGGTTAGCTGCAAGAGCGACACTATCTCTGAAACCAATTGCTGAACGGATAAGTGAATAAGCATTCTGGCGATCACCTTCAAAAACCCAAGAATTCCTACATTTCCAAATTTTCCAGGCTAAGATTCCAAATAAAAGAGGTCAGTCCGACCCCATCCCCCAATCCTTTGAGCTGTCTAAATTAGAAATGATCCAATTGTGCAGGTTGAGGTTGAAAAATTCACGCTGATTTATATGAGGCATTATCATGCACCATACATCCTTTGATTGTGGACAGTCGCGAATAGTATGAAGGATAGTTTCACTAGACTGATTACATCTAGGACACAGATCTGAAAGAGCCATATGACGGCGGAGTCTACAAACATTAGTCATCAGCTTCTCCCCTGCCATTAACCAAAGAAAAAAGCGAATTCTTTCTGGCCCCTGCCATCTCCAAACACTTTCCCAAGGAAACTGTTGGATTGTAGTATCATTGATGGCTAATATTGCATATGCTGACTTAACAGTAAACTTGCCATCTGTCGTTCCATTCCAAATTAAATGATCCTGGCCATCTTGACTAGAAGGAGGAAGAAAATTCATAAATCGATGCAGCACAGAATCTGGAAGCAATTGTCGAAGAGAATTCCATTTCCATTGCCCCAATTCATCCACGTAGTCCACCACCTTCTAAAGAGTATCACTAACAGAAAACTGAGAACCTGCATATGAGATCAAAGGACCACAATCGGGCAGCCAGCTATCAAGCCAGAACATAGTGGACTGACCATTGCCTAACTGCACCCGACTATGATCCATTATAATATTCCAATGACGCGTAATTCCCTTCCAAAGCTGGGAGCTGCTGTTTGGAGCATGAATAATTGGTGTCATGCCTGCCTCCACATTGTACTTAGCACGTAAGAACTTTGACCACAAGGCATCTGGATGAGCTACGAGGTTGAACCCAACCTTCATGATAAATGCTGAGTTCATTTCCCTCATACTCCGCAGTCCAAGGCCTCCATTTTTTTTATCCATGCAGATCTGCTTCCAGGCCACAAGATGAGAACGTCTAGAGTGTGGAAATGAACCCCAAACAAAATTTCGAATCTTCCTATCAATCTCTTCACAGGTGACTTGCGGTAATGAACAAACCTGCATTGGATATGATGGGATTGCTAATAACACTGCTTTAGATAATGTAACACGACCTGCTAGAGATAGACTGGCATGATCCCAAGCAGCAATTCTAGAATTCATTCGATCCAAAACATAAGAGAAAGATGACCGACCCACTCGCTTATGATGCAAAGAAATTCTCAAGTATCTTCCAAGATCCGCAGTCAAAGAAAAACCAAGAAG